ATTTTCAGCAGCCTTATGAGTAGTGTAATCTGTCAAGAGTAACTCGTTTGCTTGCCCATGCGCACTCATTTAAGGAGGAGAAATCCACGTGATTGCAGAGATCTTAGAAGGGGGATAACTTCTGAGTTATTACGTGTTGCACAAAGAGTGAAGGCAGCTTTGCGTGTCAACACTGCCTACTTAGATTAAAGTAAAACCTTATTCCGAATAAGCATAGTTTCCTGGGGAAGTCAAGGCACTTTTTCACGCAACGTCATCTTGGGTCTGCACAACAACTCTACTGTAGTTCACTCGTTTCCTTCAGCTGCACAACGCAGTCTACAAAATAACCTACCAATGATAATATAGTTTTTTGCTAAAAATAATGAACTCTCGTATGCAAGTTCTCAAATCATCAGGGCATTGCTAAGGAAGCGAACAACTAATGCAGGGCGGCTGCTCCAGTAAATTGAAGCGGCAGTTCTTTTGGATGTACGAAACAAAATTACGGATGCAGTATCCGTGTTCATACGGTCCCCTTACCCTAATAATTGCAGGGCAATAAGCGGCGTCAGCTACGGTCGGTCAGGTGAACTTTGATTGGTTTTGCGAATCCACAGAATTGGTTGGTTTCTTTACCATACGTTTATCCTTTTCATCGGCAAACTGTTTCTATTTGTTCCATGGTGCATCGACTGCATTGCACACCGAAATGTGCTCTAGGTGTAATGCAGTGTGTTGTTGTCGAAGGAATGCCTGTACGACTTTGATGTTGTGTAGGCATATGTGTAAAATTTGTGCACACATCAATGGAAAATGAAACCTGGTGGTCCGTAGCTCTCTGGTTCGCAAGGTATAACTCTGTGTGGGTTGTTTCCATTTAGAAGTTTGGAGCTGCAAATGTCGGACATGGATGAACGTCAGTAAGAGCGCATACCCGGGTTTCTTCCTTGACTATGCCACGCGGTTTGGCATCCTACGCTAATTGACAATCGTTCCGACTGACAGTAGACAAAGATAGTCTGTTTGGGTGACCCAATGTAGTAGAGGTATGTGACCAGCGTGTGTTACTTTGTTTCACGGCCATCGTGTGCAAAAAAAGGATAGACCTGTTAGTGTCAAATCTACGAAATTATGAGGATCGGCCTTACTTCTCCGTAATGTATGCGTCAACCCTTCCTGTAAAGTTGGCGTTCCATGGAGTTTGAAGTTATCGTGGCGCATGCGTCTCTCTCAAATAACGAGAATACTCCGAAAAAGAGGACGACTCTGCTAGTCCTGAAAGATGGATTGGTCTAACACCTATCTCTAACTGTTGGGCCATCAATAGCTCCACAGATTTCGTACTATTCACGATTTTACGTCTTATTATTTAAACTCAATGGGTTGTGTATTCCAGTGTGTGTTTCACTCGCAGTGCGTTTGATAATTTTTACTGATATTAAGGGAAACGTAAGTTCAAGACCTAGTTTCGACCGCCTTGGTGCGGCACATTCTTTAAATTCAAGGAGTTGAACGAAAAACTGTTTCACAATGAATTGGTCATATGATAGCTTCGTAGATGAAGTGGCATGTGATAACACAGCGAATGATGGAATGATTATGATGAATTGGTGGAGTACAGAAATTAGGTCAGGTGAGTGTATGCACTCAATCTGGTGGTCATGACACATCTTTTGCAATCGTAAGGTCTGGTTTCTTATCTGATCGAAACAGGGTGTATGACATGCTAAGACTACAATGGAAACAGAACTATTTCACCGTACGTACTGGTCTTGTTTAGTCGATTATCCGGTTGTGAGAATACCCACCAATAAAGGGCTTCTATCTGAATGCACCTCTCTCACAAAATGTCCACACTGCTTTTAGTCGCACCCACATATGTGGTTTAAAGCTATTTAAGATGGATGGACCTAATGCGTCAGCTGTGTGAAACTTTAATGACACTTTGTTCCTTGCCTTGAATTCGAATTTCCTCACGAACGGCATTCGTTCACCAATCCTCGTTAATTTGCGTTGCGTGTCCAGGTGTGGTATTGCAGTGCCATATTAGCCAACACCGATAGGTGAGATGTGCTGTTGTCTAACACTCATCGTATTATCGACTTTATTGCTAACAATTGCTGTATCGCACTCTTATAGGCCGATAATATTACATCATGGATACATACTGGAACTGGGAAGCCCTAATGTCCAAATTCTCAAAACGCCCAAATCTGAAAGTGAAGTAGCCGAGCAAAATATCAGCTGCAGCTGACGAACCAAACAAAACTACCGGCGTTACCTCAAGGCCTAACAAAGAACAGTTGGAAATTTTTAGGCATAATTTGTAATTTCCAACGTACTAGTAGTGTTTAGCAAATAATCTCTGTCTCGTTGCCTCTGTTGCATCCACCAAACCAGAAGTCATATTTTCAGTAGCATGCGATATTTGCATCTAATCCAGTGACGTTCCGAATGTAACTTTGATGTGATAGATTGCAGTAGTAAGCACCAACACGCCAAACTGATGTCTGATTCTTGTGTTGTAATGGAGCTGCTACGAAAACCCAATATTGAGAAGATTGACTAGAGAAGCTACACAAAAAATTGACTGGACACTTTGAACACCTAAAACATACATGAGAGCAGAAATTGCTCTGACTACTGCAAAACATATCTTGAAAGCTTCCTAATTTCTGCTTGAAAGGATTTAGCTGACAAATAGCGATAGATTCAAATTGGCTGTATTATTGTTGGGTTACTTTTAGCCCATAGTTAGTCTCTTCTCTTCAGACTGAAAGTTTCCATTAAGAACACCATTCGATATTCGTCATGCGCGAGCTGTTGATGCGTTCTACTGGGTCATGAATTTCCACCTTTAAGTTTGCTTTGGATTGTAGAACCGGAAGCTCCAAATATTCTTAGAACTCACAAAACAACATATCATTTTTGCTTGGTTTCTCTCAAAGCTGCTTCTATTGGCTAGTATTTTGGACAGTCAGAGGATAGCTAACTCTGTTGTTCTCGTACATTCAGACGTTCAGTTGAACATGCCAAAAACCAAAGAACAATAGAACAAAGTATGATCAGTCTAAAGTTATATTAACGCGAGTGCCGATTACGTAGAAATTCACTATGTTTTGTTCACCTGTGTATCTGGTGGCACATCCGCTCAAAATGCTTCTAAATGACTAAAATCTTTGCACGGATTTGACTAATCGTACTTCAGAAGCACAGAGACAAGCAGTACATATATGCTGGGCGTTCAAAGAGTCTCGGGTAAAAGTATGACTTTAAGCTGATAGATGGAAGCAGATGAATGTAGCAGAATTTGATTAGATCTGTATCCATTTTGATACGGTGCGCGGTCGTTGGCTCGTCGCTTAGCCACTGCCCTGTCGGGACAAATAGACCTTCCATTTCTCAAAATGTTTGCTTTCTAATCCGTGTGAGGGAACACGAGGATTAAGGTCGCCCTAGAAAAGAATACTTGAGGAATAGGTGGCCACAGCTACCTTACTGCGGAAATTGTCGTATTTGCGAACAACTTTGCTTGGTTTCCTGTACGTTTTTTCCTTGTGGTAAGGTGGACTACCAGGAGCGTTCTGTTGAATATGATGTTCTGGTACAGAAGAGACTTCATTTGACGCGCAAAGTGATCCAATATATCTTCTTTAAGGTCCTGGCACGAATGCGTAGCGCAAGCACTCAGCATTTATTCTGACCCCGTTAGAAAACTGAGAACACTTTTTTTAGGGGAGGGGCTCTGGATATTTATACTGTAAACTTGACTCAGCATAAACCAAAGGCAGCTTTGATCATATGAAGTTGTTGACACTCTCTGGGCGAGTATATAGACAACACACCATAAATGGAGGAGAAAGGCTCGAACTTTCCAGCACAAAATACAGTTGAAGAAGTTTATATGGTTGCCGGAAAACAGACAAGACCAAATAGTAAATAGCACTGTCAAAAATGCTCTCAAGAAAACACGCCGTTATCGTGAAGTCAGTTGTGGGATTTTATGCAAATGTGCCACATGATAAAACAGACCGCTCAGAGGTAGGAGATGGACGTTCTGCGGTTCTGAAATCACCGAAACTGCATTCAAAAAGACCACCATAATATGTTCTTTCCACGGCTTCGCCGGGTGGCCGGTTTGAAAAGCGGTGTGATAGACAAAGCTGATGAATGTGCCTACCAACTGGTAAAATCTTTCTTAACTGACCTCGCTTTCTGAATATTTAGGCGTTTCTCTAAAATTTTCGGCTTTTTGCTATCGATGAAAGGTAAGGAAACTGAAGGGTGGTTTGAATTATCGTACAACAACATTGAACTCCCTGTTGTGTTTGCAGTCAGACGTTTTACTGGCGACTATTTTTTGAGTTTAGGTGAATGAAATCAGGCGCCGCTTTTTTGATGGTTGATTGGTGGTGGCTGGTTATCTTTTGGCAGAGCTTGGAAATTAGTCTGCAAACATCCACAGTCGAGTCGACTTCCTCAATGCGGTTGATGCATGCCGAGTTTGGCCATCTGATAAGCCACCAATGAACGTGCCCGAGTTACAAATATTCTGGTGTTCGTTTAACTCCCAGTAAGCAATGATGAAAGAGACCAAAGACCATCGTAATTGTTCACCATGATATGCTTGTGTATCAGTCAGCAGTGTGATATTGTCGAGTACCTGGAGAGCCCAGTGGGATAGAAATGACAGATACCTTTGCTACAAGCAATGTTTAAGAAACCAGGTTTAAAACTAGGTTTCAAAATCTTTCAGAGCGCGTGACGGATTTCTTGTTGATCAACCTTCATGTCGAAAAATTCCCATCGATAGGACATTCCGAAGTCCAGAGAAGCTGTCCATTCGAGGATGCGAGCACCCTAGTAGTTTCTGTACTGCTGTCTCCGTGTCTGGTACTTTAGCAATGTGATTTCAGAATTCTCGTCACTACTGTTGGAGCTAGTGCTCCTTCATTTTTTGCCGTCAGCAATTTTGCACCATTTCGGATCAGAGATGGCATCGTTTTCTAATCTTTTAGATTGTACAGAGTACTGGTTGACACGTGGGGAGATTTCATCCAAGAAAACATCATCCATTTGGCGGAATGGTTCAAACTGGTGTTTCTTCGTTGGATAAACTCTCAGGTAAGCACTTTTAGAACTTTTCAAACTTCCGCTTAATTTCACTGTTATAGCTGTGCCGCGCGAAAGAATCTGCGCACTTTCAAGTTTTGCGCTTCACTTTGTTTTGATTACACATACTCCAATCATGAACAGCATGATAACTGTCATTTTTCTCAAAGGATGGCTCGAAAAACTACAAAGATGTCCCGACTAATCATACAACAATATAGAGTCAACTTCTGAAACAAAAACAAAATGCTTATACTGGCAAAAACCACTGGTGTGCTGACCCGTGTTCAGGCACTTTCCATCCTACTTCTTTAGAAACCACGAAATGTTCAAGCGGCAAACATGCCTCAGTCACCAGTTTGCATTAGTAAGAAACGTCACCAGGAGCAGGGCATAGTTGTCAGACCCGCTGTAACTGTCCTCCCCGCAAGTAAAATGGCATCAATACTTTCGCTCCGCTAAATCAGTTTACTAACTCGTCATAGCCGGACTACAGCGCTGCACTTTGTATCTTTCTAACATGACAACCAAGGGTTCATGTACACACAAAAGCGGCGATTGCCCGGGTTTCCCCGAGGATCACTTAAACATGAGCGCGAGTTTTGTGTTTGGTGGTTTTTATGGTTATGAGGGAAAAAATTTTGTGTGGTTACCGAAATTCTAGCCTTCACCTACAGCCCACCACTAGTCCACAGTTTTCATCCGATGGAATGGTTAAATTTCTTACTGTCTGTCCATTCTTTACGATGAATGAAACGTCCGTCCCGATCCAGGGTTCCATACTTGTCGGATTACAGAAATTTTTGTTTATATTGATATAAGAGATCAACTGGAAAACTTGCCAGATTCCAATATGTAATATGGAAATTGAATTTTTTTTAACCTGCGCAGAGTGAGATACATCTTACCAACTGTAGAATATAACTGTTCGTTTCGGATACAGAAGTCAAGTGAGCTTTTAGTTTCTGAAAAATTTACTGAATCAGTAACCCAGTACCAAACTGCCTAAGATGAGTTGTGTTTGAGGGTTAAATGCCGGTATTTCCCGTAGTTGTACAAGTGTATCGCGCTCCTGATCAGACAGTTGCAACTTCAGTAAGACCGTCATAAATGAGTAGTTCATTTGGATTCCAGCTGAGTCTTCCGCCAAAGCCAAATTAATTTTAAGGTAGGTTTGATTTGCGAGTTAAGTACAGTTTAGTTAGCGACTTGATTTGGAGTGCTTCGGTTAGTCACTGCTACAAAAGTCAACGGGTACAGTTTTCACTCGGCTTTTGCAATGGAATTTGAGTATAATGCCAAATCTAATGAAAAGCCGTCTTCACCGATAAGTGCATACCACCGGGTTTAACTTGGTTGACCTAAAACTGCTTACCGCTAGGTGGCCAGTTCCAGTCCACTTCGATTTACACAAGGATGCTTGGTGATCTCTACCGCCTCAGTCATCAGTGGCTGTGATGTGGACTTAAATTTACTTCGTCGCCCTTAGCCAAGTATATACCACTCGCTGCTTGATGACACGCTTATAATCTTGTGCTAGTCGGTACTGATGTGAAGCCTTTTGACAGACCTTAGGGTGGTCGTCGTGTTAGTAAACATATTCTATGTTCTCACATCCTAGGAGGTGATCCTCAAATAGCACCAGTGAAGGCCGCATAGTTTCATTTCTGGAACACTGTTCCTATGTTAGTCGCATATAATACCCTTCGGTTAACTTCAGACTTTTGGAGAAAACACCAAACGTACTGGTCTAGACCCCACTGGGTTTGGCCACAAGCACCAGTATTCTTCATAAATCAAACTACCTGGATGTACATTACCTGACTGTTCTCTATTTTATTTTGAGCCACAGTCCAGTCAAATTTTCTGCAGAGTCCTAACTTGTCTGAGCAATACAGCCTGCAGATAGATGGAAAAGTATTTCATACTTGTACCATGTCATACTTGTACCAAGTCGTTTATGTCTTGGAAGGTAGCAGTTTTTAGTTTTCTATAAGTCCTACGACTCATGTAGTCCATAAATTGCGATTAGTCCGAATTTGACTCCGGCTCCATTTTGAATCTGGGGTGCGAACCTGCCTCACAGAGCCAACGGTGAAGCTGTGACCAAAATGTCATCTACGTTAAACCAAAATACTTTACTGGGTATGAAAGCTGTCAGCTTGATATGTTTCATAAAGACATGCGCAAAAAATCAAAGACATTGGAGATTCCGCCCCTTGGTCTTATTCACGAGCGTACACCGTTTAATCAAGAGCAAAGCAAGTAAAGTCCAATTAGGTTTTGTATTTGTCAGTGGCGATTGAAATTAATTGGCTATTTTCGAGGAGTCTATATTTGACACACATGCATACAATGAACTGTCCCAACTAACGAACATTGTCTAGTTCCAAGGTGAAATTCGCAGCTCCTTTGGCAATGGTATACCAACTTTTATTATGAGCACCCAGTTTGCTAGTAAACTGTTTCAAAGTACGTGCTGAGAACGTGGTCAACTTTGATGAGCATGCACCACCCATTGCCGATCTAATGAGCATGTGAGCATTGCAAATACCGATCTAATGAGCATGTGAGCATTGCAAATTTCTAGCGTACCTAGCAGCTGAGGCTAGTTCACAGTTTCAAGCAAAAACTATATCACATATCTTGCGCCATTGTTTACGAAACCTTTCTGAAACGGCAGGTAGATACTTGTTCCAAAACACTGATAATTACTTACAAAATAGGAAAACAATTTGCTTGTTGATTAAATCTTATTGGCCAATTTAAGTGAATTTCGATTTTGCATTCACTCTATTAGTTGCCCTTACGCAGAGGTCCAGATGATATGGAAAAGCTCTTGAGGAACGTCACAATTTTCTTGTACGATGGGTTATCATCTGGACTTGGTTATGATGATGAAGAACTGAAACAACTGGCAAGTGACGTTGGTCAACTGAATACTGGAGCAACTAAATGTAAGTTGAAATTTAATCTTACGAGTCCCAATTTCTGGTGAGTTTTGGCCTCCCTCATATTCTGTTGATTCGTTTAAACAACCCAGCAAATTACAAGAAACCAGGTAGATTGTCCTGAGTGATATTTTGAGAAGAATGCCAGGCTGGGTTTTCGGTGAGTTGCTGGTGCACGAATGAGATCACGTGCAACACGCGTTACCAGCGTGGGATTTCTATTGGCTGTTGTGGGATATGACTGGCTTTGAAAAGGAAAGTGCGCGGAAACGTTTTCCATAAGGACGAGGTTTCAGACAGAGACGACATACGCTACACGCAAAAGACACTACTGTGTTTTCACTAATTGGGGTCATCTAACTAGTCACTCTGAGATGTGGATTTTAATAGTAAGACCTGATTCCGCGTTTCCAGTCGTGCGAGTGCTAGGGTTTATGTATCACTGCGGAAACCGGCTGCTTGATGGGGCTCAAATAGTTAGTAGATGTAAGTAGTAAATTTATGTAAACGTTTGTCTTGCCCCATGCAAATGAATACTATTTGACGAGGAACGCATAACACGACATTATGAGCCGATCATCGGAATCTCAGAAACCGAAATGAGGCTATCGTGATACTTTTTTCCTGTTTCACTATTGTGGTGCTCATTCTATATCGCAAATTAGTGACATTCATCGTATTGCTATCGGATGAAGTCTAAGAAAGAGTTAAGTCGAATTAAGAAGCCTACTGGATAAGAGGAAATAATGCTTTTTACGACGAGGGGACTTTCCACTCGAAGGGAACTACACACAAAGTGACCACGTGATGTCAGTTTTGATTGAAGGTTGGTAGCTTTGTATCCTGTCCAAGTGTTAATCCCAATGCTGATCAGCCACTTGTGGCCGGGCAATTAACCTACTAACTGGGAGGTCGCGGTTTCGTGGGATGCACACCGCTGATGAATCCGACTGGCGATGAAATGGCTGTACAGTATTTCCCGGTGTTTTAGCCTGTAAAACGAAACTTCCGTGGAAAATTCCAACTCTTCTCACATTACCAACGATTTACTATATTCGTCTAAAGGTTATCACACTAACCTATCTATCGGTTCAGGTTAAACCAGGAAGACTCAGCTAGTATTGCGATTTAGTATGGCGGCAGTGTTGATGCCGTGCACCATCTGCGTATGAACAGTGACAGGAAGCTTCATGCCAAAGACATCGGATGTTACAATCCCGTCAATTCGTACGTCAACAAGTTTATTCGGATATAAAACTGTCGCCGGTTAGCCGACATATCATCCAACAATACCAGTACAACTACTAGAATCGCAAACCGCTGTGATGATCAGTTTTTGATAACGACATCCGTTAGCTTAAAGGGGTACTCTTTAAAAGTGGGGAAGTTAGCGGAACAAGGCTTTAGGCGGGACAATCTCCTCACCAGTTAAGATGATATCAATTTTTGTTGCGACTGGAAGCACCGGAAAAACAATTTCCGTTGAATTTAGGTATCATATAAGTCACTACCCTTCTCACTTTGGAATGGCTGGCATATTCATTCTAAAACCTACTCAATGCTCACCTGGTGTCCACTGAAGCTCATTATTCATTGGTTCCCTGTTGGACTATGGTCTCTCGACATCATAAAATTGCGATAGAGTTTCCTGGTACTTACCAGCTAATGCTGTGGTCTTGCTCAACACTTCACATATCCCTCTGTCAAATTGCCTACCTCTTCCACTTCGTCCTGCTAGAAGGGTACAAATTATCCATTAACATGGGAGCTCCGTTTTATTATGCGATTCGCATACCATTGTCTGAACCAGGAACCTGGTTAAACTGTACGTAAACAGCATACAGCCCCAGTGACTAGCTAGCATGCACAGTTAGTCTATGCATACGGGTGTTGTCTCTAATCGTCCTGCTGGCAACACGGTCATGTGAACAGAATATACGCGGTTGCGTCATCGCAGCACTGTTGACAACAGTACACCCGTAATATATACTGGTACCTAACTGCAATACAACCATGTCGGAAGAAGGCATTATTAAGGAGTTAAAAGGGAAGGGTGCGGGCTTGGTGCGAGTAAGCCCTGTGTCCTTAATAAAGCTAACCAAGGATATGGTACCTGAGCCTTTGGACAGCTTCAAAATAAACACGTTTAAGCATCGTGTCGGAGCAGGGCGTCATCAGCTGGATTAGCACGGCTTTATTCGCAAGCCTTACCCGACGTCAGCCCAGTGGACATAGACAGGTGAACTTTAGCCAAGCAGTCAGACTGCGACATGACAGTGTGCGCTCTACTGGGATTGGTTATGGAGCGTGTCCTACAGGGTCTTCAAACACCTGTAGCAGGTTCACATGGGAACCAGCCAAGAAAAAGCAAGGATGTTACAGTACTCACTTTGACAACAGTCAGTTTCCACGCCGTCGGATAAATAGCGGCTTCAAATATCCCTTATGTACAAGCTAAATTCATCGCTGTCCGCTTGTTTGTCGTCAAATGGTATAGTTCAGCTACAAGGTTGAATGTTTTTGGTCCTGCCACTCCCCAATGTTTAACCTACTGAAAGCACATGTGTACTAATGACAAAATGAACGGTTTGCGAAGTGCCTGGTGTAGCACTGTAGCTTATAGATCTTACATAAACCTGAAGAAATATGATCAACAGGCCTAATTGATATGAGCCACTGGCTTGCTCACGTATGGAGTAAGCAATAACGTCTCCGCCAGAGTCTACACTGTATGATCCATCCGGTTGTCACGGACAAACAGGAGCCACGGGGGAAGTAGGAATTGGAGCCAATTTACATCAACTTACACCCTACGTGACCGATAAGGCTTGGGAGATACTGTGTACACTAACGTTTTCTCATAAGTAACCACAGACTACGAATGAAATCGGTCGAGGCTCCGAATGTGATGTTGTTGAACCATTCACATCTGGACAATGAGATAACACAGTACACCGCAAAGTTTGTCGACTGATTTACGCATGTTTTTCGAAGTCTTGCAGATGACCTGCTAGCTTTTGATATTCGCGAGCCCAACTCTCTGTCCGTCGGTTAATGAGTACTGCCGAGGTAACAGAAATCTGAGCAGCATGCTTTATCTTTACCTTTTACATTTATGTCTGGAAAACTTAGTGCCTACGGGAAACATTTGATGTAAAGTAACTCAGTTGAAACTATTCTGATTTAAGACAGAACCAGTTACCACAAGCCTGGCCTTTATCGATAGAAGCTAAGGTTTTGCTTTAGAAAGTGCCAGCAGGGCATGAACGCTAGCAAAAAGGAACCTTAGTCTTCAAGTCACGTAATACTCCCATGACGAGAATGAGTCTTGAACTGAATAGGTGACATTTCAGAAGAGAGTAATGTGTCACGTAGCCTTATGAACACCAAACCATCTCCGCACATGTTGCAGTTGAACACAAACCAGAAAAAGCTGACTTAATAATCCCGCCGTGTTTCATCCCCTAGCTAACGCTGAAGCCTGCAAAATTCTGTCCAAAAAATCCAAAATCTTGACTTCATCCCAAAATGAAAACTTGACGGAGTTGACAGGTTTGTATGAGCAGGTCGTCTTCTGAAAGACTGTCAAATATGATTCCTTGTCCACCAAAAAAAGGCGTTGTGTATTTGCAGAATGGGAGGCAAATCGGTAGGTCGCTTTCCCTGCATTTCTGAAGCAGTGAAAAGTAGTATTTGGTTTTCATAACAGAAACCACTAACAAGGTTGCCGAAAGCTTTTCGACAGCTTATTACCGGTTTTGCCCTTCTTAGGGTTCATCAGGTAAACGCAATCTGGGAGTTTATGACAACCCCAGGTTCTACTTGAACCCAAATTAGACCGTTTTCGTCAAATACACCCATATGCATATCGGTTTGGAGACAACTGGATTTCTCGCTTTTTATGAAGAGTCATGAACAACTTTATGAGTAGTTTATTTCATGAAGATATACCGCAATATCCAAAACATCATACCAACTGAAACATGAGGTAGGCTTTGTACATCGAATTCAGGTGAAAATTATATTGTATAGATACTTTCATTAACTGTCCCAAAATGAAGTGTACAGCCTTCGGCATTCTTCGGTTGATGAACGGTTCTCACACCTGTAGAATGGGCACAAAATGAGTGTAACCCTGATTTTTCTTTACTTTGATGTGGAAGAGTTCGGTTATCCAATATAAGTTAACAACGATACATATAAATTTGATATATTTGAAGATTTCGGAATGCCACAAGTGAATTATGGTGTGAAAGAAAACCAGCTGTTGGAACCTAATCTTTCCTCCCCTATACAGTTGATGGAAATCAAAATGAACTAAATGAAGATATTGAAAGCTTCAATGAAATATTCATCTGGCTTCAGGTAAGTCTGATTTCAATAAAAATCTGACGGTTTATCAACGCAAGGCTGCAGTGACAACTTATCAAGGTCGTTTTATTAGTTCACTCATGTGGCTAATTGGAAAACGATTGATGAATATATTACGCAATAGCTGCATTCTCAAGTGTCTGAAATAACAGGGCCCACCGTGATGATAATTTGTGTGGGCTGTTTTCTGAAGCACCAACATTGGAGGTCCCGAATTTTCCTTATTGGGTAACTTATAGACCTGTTTAATCAGGAATTTCTTGTGATGTTCAGTCTCACCTACAATGCCTTCGTTCTACTCAAACCGGCGATTAGTGTGTCGACTACTTTTACCTTCCAGTGCGAAGTGAATCACTATTTCCAACCTGTTCTAAGACGGGATTGGTACAAGAACAAAATAGGTGGCTCTATCACGGACGCTTCATATTGTTGTCGTAGTTGTTGGCAAAATATTAGTATAAGATGGACAGTTTCGCTTTGGGAACTAACCAGGACCACCCAACTTGCAGAACAGCTTGTTGCGTTCGTCACTCAAAAAATGGGTAAATGAGGTCTCAAAAACAGCTTCAACTAAAATAGCGATAATGCGAGTTAGCAATGAGCAGGTGCCACTGCGCGTGGAAGCTGTGAAAATGGCATTAATGGTATTGAACAAAGCCAGATGATCCTGCCTCTCATTTGTCAAGGTGATGTCATCTGGAAATACATTAAAGAATGAGTTTTGATTTCACTCAGACGTGGAGGCTGTGTAAACACAACTCATTACTTCTTTGTTTGATGGTTATGGTTTGTTGACCATGATATGATGGACAGCATTACGCAGACTCTATCATACGATTCACAGGCTTGCATTATGTTGATGCAACTTCCAGCAGGATGAATTCATGTCCACGATGTTTGGCGAAACAATCCTTTGAGACCAGACTTTGAGTATAGCTGCCCTGGCCGTTTCAAACACAAGCAAATTTACATGAAAAGTTTTTGGCTGCTGATTGCTGTCAAGATTTACTTAAGATCCCATTGATTTTCTCGTTTGCACTATCTTACTTTCCAAATGAATGGTAATCTGATAATGTTAAGGCCGCGTTTTGGGTAGCATGGAGAAAATCGGAAATCTTTATTGGCTTATTGCTTAAGAGCCAATGAGCCGATGATGTCGCCGAAAACACCAAGTCACCTTCTCTTTTCAGTCTGAATGAAAACATTCACATTTTTGACAACCAGTGCAATACTACTAGTTTTTTGGGAATCACTTTGCCGTAAACGAGCAGCAACGGTAGCGGTTTTCAACCGGAACAAGGTTTTTCAGTATCACGCACAGTTAAGTGGTAATATGGTTTGCTTTTAAGCAAATGGCGCACATCTGGCAGAAAAATAGTCTGTCTTCTTTTCTGCTGATGACGTACTCGTTAAAATACAGAATCCCACCGTCTTTTTCTGTCACTGACTTCTGTTCAGACAAGCTTAGTTGAATCTACTGCTCAAACTAGAATAAAAATAATGGTTAAGCCAATTAAAAAAGATACTGAAAAAGCGCTTTTTATAACTGGTGTACTCACCTAGAGCTTAGTATTAGTCATCCTCTAGCGTCAAACAGAAAAATGGGTGTTTTAGAACCGAATTCCCCATATTACATGACATAATATCCTCCCAAGCCAATTCAACCGTAAAAAGTCAGTGCCTTCTTCGCTATTCTTGTTGTCGAATGAATGATGATTCAATGTGGCTGTTATCAACGACAGGGTCATCAGATATCACTTTTCCTGGTTTTTTAAATATCCACAATTACTCTACTTTCGAAGTGAATGACAGGATCATTCCGCTAGGTAATCGTTCAATAATAGGAATTCCGAATGACCGTAAATTCTTGTCACCTCGTTTTAGCATTGCCAGTAGCCAGGGTCAGAATATTTTCATTTTCTACCTTACTGGTGGACGCCTCTGTTGCCTCCGTCTAACCTCACTGGATATTTGCATAATATGCTATTTAAAAAATGTCTTAAGCATAGCATGGTTTAAAAAAGTAAATCATGTAAAAAACAGTTTAAAGTTCATGGAAGACGGATAAACAACAAAAAATAGTACTGGAATGATGCATAACCCTCACGCAAGCGCAACATGATAGTCTGGCGCGAAATACGGTTAACAGTTGATGACCTTGAAAAGATACATCGCTTTCCGCAGTGGACCGAAGTGAAGTGATGCATGGGCGGAGGCTAATGTATTTTGAACAACTAACTCTTTTGAGTTGATTTTATATGACAGCCAGCGGCGTTTGTTAGAAACTTTAAAATATCAGACGAAATTAATAAAACCGTTTGTCGAAACACATCACTAGGCTCGAGTTGATCACAGCGTTTTTGGCTAAGACATTCGTTCCTTTCCCGCATCTTCAAGAACTCTGTTCACAATCAGCTATAAATTTACCACACGATTTTTTATTTTTGTCAGGTCATTTATTTAGTGCTATAGGTGGCAGAAACAATTGTAAAAACCAGCTGATTTAGCAAATGGCAATAAGCTTGCAAGTTTTTGTCACCAATGAATGTGATACCATCAGTGTGCAATTGAAATATGGGTAATCGCTTCTTGCATGCTTGAGTTTATTTAGTCCTCAGGGGCCAGCTGTTAACTATTTCTGCGACTGGTTGGACAAAACACACCTATTCAAAATTTTATTGGTCGGTTTCAATGTGTGCTGCGTTCTGGTGCGTAGTCCTAACCATCAATAGGTGCGTTCAGTTGGTTCCTTCTGAGGACTTGTTCTGATGAGTCGGTTTTCAAGTTTTGTTGCATCATGGTATTAGTTAAATTCAATTAATTAAATTTAATACTACGGTGGTTTCCAATTATGATAATTCGATCGCTTTGATTTGGTTGGTTTACTCTCAGTATCTAAAAACCGTATAATTTTATCTGCATACCATCCAACAAAGATTCCTGCTAACAAATGGTTCCGCAAAACACAGATATGTTTGCTTTACCATGCAGTGCATGCCTAACCTATTTAGATGGAAAAATTGTTCAACCGATAACGGACAGATATAACGATTACGGAAATACCTGTCGAATACTTAATTGCAAGGAATGGTGGGGTAAAATGCCTTGCCTTGCCTTATCAATCCACAGTGAGATTTTTCTCACCCTCGATACATGAAGGGTGCGATCGGGGTTGAATGCTGCCCTGTTGAAGATTAGCGGTTTGAATGCGAACGTTCAAAGTTGGGTTGAGCTAAATGTTAGGATATATTTTCACCCTATTCGCTGGTAATAAATATTGTCCTAGGTTTGCTCTAACAAGCTGCACATCTGTTCACCAATTGTACCATAATAATATTCCATTTAACAACCTGTCTCAGGTTTGCCCACTAAGTAGACCGCTTGCCTCATCAACAGCCGTTCCTTTCATCAACTAAAATTACGTAACCGAAAGGTGCTTCTTTTCTTCACATACCTCCATATCATCGCTCCACGATTTGGTCTCAAATGCAGTTCGTCTGTCATCGATAATATGCTCGAGTTTTACACTTCAAACAACTAAACTACACACCCGAGCTACTCATATTTAGTGAAAGTGCCAGAAGCGGCTTCGTGCGATTACGTTCCAAATCAACTCTAAAGCCACTATTCTGGTTTGAGGTAACAGTATCTTACTAACTGGTATTTCTGATGAGTCCAAAAATAATAGATCATTTGGCAATCCACCGGAGTCGGACAAGACTCTGACAATAACTACTGGAACAGTGACCTTCGAAAGAAACTTTTATCCAAAGAGTGCTGGAAAACTGAAAGAGCCAAGAATAAGAACATATTGCACCATCGAACCCACCATGGATTCCTCGTTTTCAGTTGAAGGAGTTCTTTCCCTCATTGATTTAGCGTAATACTCGACGGATTAAACAGCATGCTTGACCTGAAACTGAAGGGTGTTTATTGGTGTTACGACGTCATCATAAACAAACTATCTGCAGGAACTCATTGGAGCTCAAATGTTTGTTTGAGTTCCGAAACCTGGTGAGTCCATTGTTTAGCTCCGCTCGCTTCGTATTAGGAAAGCTGCAAGATTGGATGTGCTTCGCCTGATAAAACTGTGGGTTAAACTTTTGTACAACATATTCCGGAATGCAAGATCTCAAAAACAAAGCGGGTAAATTTGTTAAGGTTTATTGTACTACTGTAAAATTGAGTGTATGTAAAGGAATCTGTAGATTAGCACCCATTTCTAAATAGTGTAAGCGGTAACAAGAGGCTCAGCCAAGTCTCTTGCTTATTCTGTTGATCAGCTGAATGTGCTGCACAAAGGCTACTTTGTGTTTCATTTGGAACAATACTCAAGATTTCAACACGATATCTTTGAATACTTATAACGTCGATAGGTTGTGCAAAAGGTTCTATCGATCTCACAAACAGTTTCAAATCATGGGAAGACTGACATCGTTTTCATATAAATGTAGCACTGTGCAGTGTTAAAGAACACGTCATAAGTAGCATTACTCCATAAGTGCTTATGGGCCACGTGACTTAACCGATCCAGCTGCAGTTTCATTCTGCAACGTGAGCAAATCAATAGGTATATGACCCTTTCAGATGGACAACGCATCACGTAAATTTACTCATCAGCACGTGTAAATTAACTGCATGAATTTTATAATGTTAACTCAGTTGCAATCCCCGAAATATCTTGAACTGAACACTATAAGTACATATAGCCTGTGAGACCACAAACGCTTTTGTATCCACAAAGAAAAGCCACAACATGCATCGTGCATGATAATCATAATCGAATGGAGTTGCTTTTACTGAATTCCTCAACTATGATCAAAAGACGTGAAATCGAATTTTACGCAAGACGTTTTTTTGGAAAATCTAATCTTACTATGAATCTCAATCAGCCACAAATTGGCTATCTGGAACACATAAACGGAAACGCCAAACTACAAAATTCCATACGCCTGGAGTTAGGTAGGAAGTGTCAAACCAGGAATGATCGTTCTTCTAAACGGATAAACTGTTGCTAAGATCCAGCTTTTATAGATTGTCTCGTTGTGACTGGCTCATCAAGGAATGATTGTCTCGGTAATTACTAACTGTGCGGCTCACACCTCTATGAGAACATTTAAGGAAACTTATCTCGAAGATAGATGTTCTCACTGTTACACTCATCCAGACAAATTCGAACTATGTCAGCATCGAAGATTTAAGGCTCTCTGAATTAGCCCACAAGATTCGCGTGATAGTAGTTTATGGATGGCTGTTGACGAGCGTCTGTGATAGCACCTAATACCTATTCTTTCCCATATCTCGTCCCGGTCCCATCGTGTATTAAGGAACAAGAAACTTGGCGAAATCCTTACTTTTGCCAATCCAGGCTGTTCATTATCCACTCAGTTCATTGATTCAATATTCTTGTACTAGTACCGAAATTTTGACTTATCCCTTAAACCTAGATTTTTATCCAGGCCACCAACTTGTAGCTTGCTCTCTCCTCGATGTTCAACAAGTATGTTGCCGGAATTCTTGAAAGAATTCTTCCCAACTTCCTTTTTTAACATCCGTGATAACCTGGTTATCCTAGCAGATGACCTTGAGAGGTTAAGTCTCAAGCCGGTTCTTTTTTCGGGTCTCCAAAATCTTGTTAGGAGACCAACCAGGATAAGGATGAATTTCGATTGATGCATGCAGGATTCCTTAACCTGTGTCTCCAAAAATTACCTCTCGGTACGTCTAACCAGTTCACTGTTTTTGCCCTCTTGGTCGTATTTTCTCCTTTGTTTTTTCATTCTTCCATAGCTTCCACATATAGGCCTTTGTGAAGGTCATGAAATTCTAGGTGGTGTTTCACCGCTGAAAGCGTCCTGTCTGCTGAAAGCTGAAAGCCTGTCTGCCTACAATTGGACCAGTTTTCTTCACCAGGAAACTTTCCCCACCCAATGGTGAGATAAGTAATAGGGTCTTCAAATCCACTCTATTTGGCGGCTCTTATTTTGTAACAGACTGCTTATCCCAAGCTACTTCAAAGACAGAAGAGGCATATTCACGAATCCGAGAGGATTATTGTCGTGGGTCGAATGAATTCACACATGTGCCGAAAATAAAGGAATTGTGATGTGCTTTCCTGCAGTCAATAATATCTCTGTGGGGTTAGAATTCTTTAGGCGAAGAGTTTCTACTTGATCACAACGGAGTCTTCTTTGAATGACCGCTTTCTCTTGATGTCCTAACAGGACTTGATGCACTTTCTCAAACCCTTTCGATCCTGATCTTTCTCAGGTCTTGATGGCATATTTCTTATCCACATAAATATTATGGTAGTGAATTAAGTGTGGCTGAATTGGACCGCACTAATACGTCATTTACAGTTTTGAAAGCAGTTATCACTACACATATCCCCAAAGCCACTTACGTCGTGGTGGTCTAAAAGGCAGGACTGTGTGATACTCTTTGATCTGCCTCCAGTAGCATATCGTTTTTTATGGGGATTGGGTTGTGACGCCCGAATAATATTTTAGGATATCCGGGGAGGTTTTTTCCCAGAGCCAGTCGAGCAAAGTTAGCTGTATATGTTACCTTTCGAATTTGAATCAAAAGCTACAATTAGTCATGGAAATGACTTTGATTTCATAGCCTCACTTCTCAGCATCCTCAATGCGTGCGCTGAATAGCCTGTCGTCAGCAAACAACTGCGTCTGCCGTTGACAGGGTAACTCACAATCGTGTTTCTAAAGTCTGTCACAAATTTCCAGCAAGCTTCTGGGAATATTATTTAGCGGTTCATTCACCAGCAAGTTATGGCCTCTCTATCGAAGGTGTATGTACTGAGGAGTTCAAGTACGAAGGCAATCGCCGCTTGTTCGTTTTCCATCTGAGCGTAATTACGTCTTGAGTGTGTTAAACTTCTCTTCTTGTAGTCCAAAGGATTTCCGTCCTCCGGAAGTACTGCACTTTGACATTGTCGGCTGTCATTGCATTTTATAACAAGCGGCAGACGCGGGTTGTCGTATACCATCATTAGCATACTAATACTGACACCTGTCACTGCTTCCCTAATCTTTTCAATCGTGCACTTTCGTATATTGTCCCCATACCATGGTTACTCCTTGAGTGTCAATTTTCGAAGCAGTTCCGTTGGATCAACCAAATGGGAAAGAAATGGATTCAATTCGCTCACCATTTAGTTCAGCTTTGGTACTGATTTCCGTTCATCCGAGCCGGTCTAGTTAGAATTGCCTTGAGTTTCTCTGGGTCTGACATGAAAATCGATACATTCTGTGATAAAGTGACCACGGAATGCATCAGAGCTGACACAATGCTCAGCTTACGTCGTATTAGCCGTGTACGCCGTTCAGTGCAGTGTTTAAGGAATTGTTCTAAATTCTGGTCATGATATTCACTTGTCCGACCACTGGTATTGTCTGCGATTGTCTTCGGCACAGGCCTACCTACCTACTAAGATGTTTTTCAATGTCACTTTCTGTTATTCTTTCATGAACCTTCAGTCAATGCACTCAGAAAATGACCTTGAGTGCACTGGAACCCCGATGGTCTGCTCAATTGAATGCGTGCGACTCCGATCAATGGATCTTGATGTAAATAGTTCCCACATTTTCTCTCGAGGATACCGCATCATCTTCCATTCCATAAACCCCTATCCATATTAAACAAAAGAACGGATCACGAAAACAATAATGTTTTCACTCGCATTCTGACTATAGTAGTTGCTTGGGATGTCCACCGCGACTAGGCGTAGGGTGACTTCTCGCGGATAAATTGTCGTGCACCGGTCTTGGAGTCCTGAATGATTTACCCGTTTGTGTTTCGTGCTCTTAAGTGTCACTGATTGGACAGTATTGTGGTGCGAACGGACTTCCTTAATCTCTGAGAGTAGTAAAATCCTCCTCACCAACTTGCTCTGCCAGATTTCTGAGTCTTTTCTTCCACGAATAGGTAAGTCGAGTGGATGTTCTCCCATGTATACTTAAGAGTTCGATTCAAATTCGAAGCCCAAATATGGAACTATGTAATATGAATTTTGACAAAGACACATCAGAAGTGAAGTGAGACTTCATTGGAACTTGACAAGCACTAGATAATTGACGTTTAACAAGCAAACACCTTACTTCGAGAGATTTCCCCATTGCTTTTAAACTATATGTCGAACTATATGTTGCAGCAATGATGTTACGTGTTCTGTTTATTGACACATGACGGAAAGGGCATCCTCACACAAATTAATGGACCGAATTTCCGAATCCAGGAGGATCAGGTTGGGGACTAATGGGCCCCTCTCCAGCAATATTCATTCAAGCAGCGCTAAAATACTCGAATTCCAAAATATTCATATGAAGATTCACCACTTTATACCATTTGACATCTGAGTTCTGGCTTTAACTATTGTACACTACAGAAGTTCCTCGATGTGGTTTTGCAATCCAAACTTCCGTTACCGTCAATCGTACTTATTTTTTACACACCTTGTCGCACAGAGACATCAAGAAGCCATCAGTATCTGCAAGCGAAATTTGAGTGCGTTTCAGGTGGTCACGCAAAAACCCTACCGTCCACCCCTTGGACAAAATCGCGCTGTGGAGTTAATGCGCTTGGTAAAGTGAGTGCCAAAACTTACCGTTTGTAGTCACAAATTCGATTCAATGTTGAATGCCAGTGTGTTTTCAGTTGACTACCCGTTAGAGACAATCATTCCGTTCTTCACTTTACTTTCTTATACCAACCACTCCGTCACAGTATCCACTTTTGTTCCTTCCAGTCGAACTAACGTTCGTCATATCAAAGGGGGTTTTTCAGCACATTAGTTACACCACTCTGCTTCGGTAGAATACTTCTTGGCCCTCCAGCATAGATTAATCCCACGTAAGAGTCGAAATCTCTGTAGAAACGGGAGAAATTTTCTATACTTATCTTTCGTTCCTGATAAAAAGATGTAGAATCTTTCATATATTAATCCGTTGTGGCTTGCCATTTCTAAGCGGTTTTTTCACGCTGCTGCACCACTTTTACATTTACAATTTAGAACTAGTTTCGCATGACGCTCTGATATTCCTGCAGGAAAAACTCCCCTAATACAATCATATGTATACGTGATAACTAACAGCCTTTGCTGTCCATTTAACCCAGCAAACTGATCACGCATGAACCGCAAAAAGCCGCAAAGCTACTAGACAAAATGGTGATTTGGAACAAGAGTTTGGATGAAACTGAAAGAAGAATTCACTGTACTGCTGATTCTTCCGATGAAAGCTCGGATTATGAACCTTCCAAACCACATGGCGTCGTGAAAAACTACGTGAGAAATCCGACGACGCCTTCCAAGTTCACGGATGGTACGATTTTTACACTTGGCCTCAGCGATCGATACGACGACTACTTCGTAGATAGTGACAGTTTGTTGGGTTAGTTACATGGGATACTGATCACTTTCCTATAGAGTATTTTGCAATAAATGACATCACATTTCATGCCGAGTTTTTTGTAGCACAATTCTCCTAGCGTTTTTACATTGGGGAGCGCTAGACCACAGCATTTCATACAATCGAGAGCTAAATTCCAGGCGGTGCATAACCCAATATCGCATTACTTCCCAAGCCAGCAAACCAGCCTGTTTGGAGGAATGAGAAAGTTTAAACAGACATGAGCTTGAATTCCAGCCCCAAGTTGTGTTTAAACTTGATACCATAGTATTCAAACCTGTGAGCATAGTAAGTATGATATCCGCCTAATACTGCAGTAAGTAAGCCTGACAACCTAGTTATCTACAGAATCTAAGGTTAAACTTGTTTCACCGTAATTAGGCGTATTCTGTCAAACTTGATAGTTGTGCATCTTTATGTGTGTGTAGATAACTTGCCCAGTATTCCACTTTCGTTTGTCACAAAATTATTCCAAGGCAATATTTATGTCCCACCTCAGACAGGTCACCCCACGAGGTTTCTGTATTTGTTTATAGAATTACTATCGCTTCTTTAATTCGTAAGCTGTGAGGTGCATTTATAGTTCTATCAGTACATAATCTTTAAGTATTTATTCTGAGACACCGATGGATATACGACGAAGCAGACTTGAGTAGATGTAAACATTTTTTCTAGAAACAATGATCGTTTCTAAGTTAACCTGCATTCTGAATGCTGTTGCACGTTATCCTATTCAGCTGTAGGTATCTAGCGTTTACAGAAAGCCACATATATTGTGACCAAAAGCAATATAGCTAACAGGTCATGAAACTCAAGGGTGGATTCTTTTGGAGTGAGACCAACAGTCTTGGAAATTCAAAAAATAGCAGTTCACTTCAAATTTTATCCACCTGGACTTTTTTGGTGATCGTTTTCAACATTTCCAATATATGCGTCGCCTTACAGATTGTTCGACTTTTGTGGCTAAAATACGGCTGAATATCTGAATGCTGAATGTCTCGCTTAGCTATTTTGTGTCTGGTAGTTTACCAACTGTAACTTTCCTACAGACACGAAGCTCATTATTGATTATTTACCACTGAGCGTGAATATATATCGTTTGCTAGAAACTCTTCGAACTTGTGAGCAGTGTGTTGCATTTAGAAAACCTGTTACGATATCTCGAATGTGGTACCAAACGAAACATGAAACGGCCTGGTGGAACATATCAAGTTGAAGCACACTTTCGTGAACAAGAGTTTTAGGTGGATTCATTTGAGTCATCTTTCGAAAACGTTATAGTCCGGGGGATCGGACTGTTTCAGGGGTTTGGAAACTATGGATGTCGACTGTCACCCAAATTGTGACAAAAACAGTGTGAAGATAGTCTGTTCGGCAGCAACTTTGACGATATTCAAACTCAGTTGCTTATCAAAAATATCCTTTTCTAGGCAGAAGATACTAGAGCTGACGAATGTATGGTTAGGATGGCTTTTCTTCAGATTGTACAAATGAGAGGTTAAGACTTGGGGGTGACAAGTGAACCGTGGTCACAAACCAAGCAAGGAAGCTACTGTTCTGGACTTGAATAAATCCCTGAGACAATATCCCTAATAAGATGACACTGGGATACATACGGAACAGAAGAGACTTTGTTCTATGTTCATGTACGTGAAATCCCGGATGGGTCAAACCAGGGGAGTTCAGAAATGTGAACAAACTGCTTTGGTCGCACAGAATAGAGGAATAGCATCTGATCACGTTTTCCCTTGCCTCGGAGTTGATGCAAGACTGTGTCGATATAGTATGACCTAACTGCGATCTGTAAAGAGACTTTGAGGTGTGGCAGCCAATCGCACCTACTAGCGATTTCATATTGAGTTTTCAGTTTTCTATTCAGTTTCCTTCACGTACACCCAACATGCAGTGAGGCGCAGCTGCTGAGAATGATTAAACCAGGTTGTTTAGGGCGTAGATGGGCAACAAATCGTTAAAAAAAGATGGTGACCGTCAACGGCTAAATCAAGTAGAAAGCGTGGGAGCTTAACGTTCTGCCATGGGCCCTGTAGGGTTCGACTGAATGGCCTAAATAACGGTTATTTAACCAGTCGTGGGAAGCCTGAAGACAGGACGCTTGCAATGCTCAAAAACAGACAAAAGACTCCAAACAGGCTGAATATCCCCATTGTGAACTTACACAACACATGGACGCACTTACTTTGCTGGCCGTCAGTGTACTCACCGGTCCACCTATTGTAAATTAAGTAAGGTTGTTCTGTCTTTTGATAACCACTCACCGACACTGTCATCCTAGGGGTGACGGCGTCACTGATCGCAGGTTTAATGCAATACTGCTAGGTTATCCTTTGCCACTTTGAAGGTATTAATCGCCAGCTCCCGATAACGCTTACACGATTACTGGGAGACGGACGGTTTACTGCGTTGACGGATGATAACTGTGCATCGACTGTAAACAAGCAGCCGGTGTCAATGCCCACGGCTATACAGCCAAGTTTAGGCAGGGTTGTTGGCTTTTACAGGCTTATGCACTTTCAACCCCTAAGTACAATCCCTCGGCTTCACGTCGACTTCAGTGACTTGCGTGTAGTACCATATTCTGTACCGCGCAAACTATCAGCGGTCTGTCACTATGCGCAGGTGTACGGTGCCTTAAACACGGCTTACCAACAAATGAGATCGGCCAGTCAGCCAGTCAGCCCTCTATTCATTTGCTTGGTATGATGGTTCTCACGCTACGAACTCACCTTACTAGCATGCGAAAATTTTTTATTGAATTTTGTAGAGTTCAGTCACCACAGGTCTTTTGTCTTTAGTAGGACTCACTATGTAATCGTCCACACTTTGTCTCCACAAGATTACTAATGACCTATCAGGGTTCCAAAATGACCAAAAAGGAATTGATTCAAATCAAATTTACTTAACAAAAATATGAACAACCCCTCAAAATCCTAAACTTTAGCTTGACCGGTGTGGACGCCTATTGAAACGGTATCATATATGTGTTAGCCACACCACTGTTCGACTGCACAATATGATTGAGTTAAACTGACGACGTTGCGGCTTTTGGTATCGGAGCTCCATGGCCTTTCTTAATCAACGAATAAAAAAAGAATGCAAAAATCACGTTGGTAGGGCTCGCCAAAGTTGTACGCTTACACACAGGTAATCGAGTCTTCTGCCCAGCTCTTCGCCTATTCCTGACAAACGTCTACAAAACTGAATCATTGAGTTGAAAGTACGAAAGTATAGTATGTACACATCAGTGCCCTTATCGAACTTCGTGGACTAGGAGTCATGCAGTGGGTGGTGCTGTCATCTGGAACAGCAACTGAAGATCTTCATTAGTGCCGTGGAATCGAACGTTAAACACTCTAGCGTCTACTCTCTCTGCAGACTTCCCCAATGTGAACATGTTGCCATTGCTTTCTGGTCTGAAACTATGTCACTACACAGCACCTCTTCAGCCAATTCATCTAAAACGCTCTGTCCAATAGCCAGATCGTTGGCAAATCATCTGATGCCAGTGAATTGATCGGCGTGAAAGATTTCTTCATCAGCTGGTACTTGGCTCATTCCCTCACTATTGGCGGTCGATAACAAGATGAAACAACTGTACGACTCTTCTTCCCACTTAAGCAACGTTTTGTCTATCTTTTATTTACAAACTTCCAATTGGTGTATCTCTTCTGTATAAGCGTATATATTATCGAAGAAGTAGGCTAAGACCTAAACTATTTCGTACGCTCCATTGTTTTTTGGTTAAGTGGTTTAATTGACGGTCATTTCAATGAGGGAAGCTATAAAAAAGCTGTCAAAAAGAGCTAACTGAATAAGCTACAGAACCATACTCTTCACTGCACTTAGACGTAAGACTTCATTGTTTTGTTCCTTCACTGACTACCCGGTTCAAAACCAAGCAACCAGCGGATTCATTGAGGGACTGTGAACGACATTCAACACTGACGGTTAAGCACATTCGACGGTCAAACTGTCTGCGCAATCTGCATCGAAGATTGCGATAGTCACTCGGTCAGATGACAGACTCATTATTCGCCGCCTTATGCACCCAAAGCAAAATGGACGCAGCGTAGGTCATTGCACTTGGCTAGTTCCACAGTCTGAGGAAATAATATTAAAATCTAATACTGAAATAGTAAGTGCGAGTTTTCCTATTTGTAGTACTGTTTACGGTCCTATCCAGCAGCAAAATGCCTCAAGACTGATACTACCCATCCCAGGTGTTTCTGGCATGGTAACAACCCTTGTTTTCATTAGTTTTGAGGCACCAAGCTTGCTTTAGTAAAGTGTAATTGCGGGTTGACTTGCTCGAGTTTGTCCAGTGAGTTTCTGATTCCAATTGTACTGAAACAAGAACATTTTAACACCGCATAAATCAGTCTTCCCGCCGCGGTTGACAACAGCTGTTCCGACGTTGGCTGTCATTTGTCTCACCGACGTGTGATTTACCATACTCGACATTTTTCTACACACCGTCTCCCTGTCATCAATTAGTATTCCATGCTAGATTGCACTCTCAAAATGACCTGCTGATGAGTCTAGCTGTTAGCAAGAGGTGAATTACCAGCGATAGATGTTGTGAAAGAAACTGGGACAGATATGTGGTGAACTGGCAATCTCCTTATTTCTTGACAGAACGTATTACTCTTAAGAATACCAAAACCTCTTCAACAACCCACCACTGGTTTTGTTTATGTTTGCTTGTAACAGAGCCTGTGAGTCTCATAGGTCAATTATTTCAGAAACTGTAATAGGAAGACTCTTTTGCATAGTAACATTGCAGCAAAAGAGAGAATGCGAGCAGTGTTGTTTAATTTTCTTAGTGCGGACAAGAAGCATGTAGGTATACACTGGCCAGATCCATATCAATGCCACTCTGACGGAGGGGTGGGCGCCGGCTCACTCATAGTCGAAACTGAAAGGAAAACGAACAATGATGTTACGGGCGCACATCATTTCCTTTCCGAAGATTTTAGTCCTAATGCCGAACCGCAGAGCTACCCTCGAAATGAATTATGGTGAAAGTCCAGAAATTTATCGCTTCTCCTTGTCCAACCAAAATACGTGCCCAAAATATACGTTTCTGCAAGCTGCGCGTTACAAATCAGAACGTAGTTTGTGGGCAATACAGATTAAGCAGTTTTCAGGCAGATACTTTTGGCTAGTGTCCTAAAAGAATGAACAACTGGCCACCCTAATCGTCGGCTACAGTGAGCCAATCCCATAAGTCACTTGAGTTTCTCGAGTCGGCTCGTTGCAATTCACACTTGTCAAATTAAAGACTGCCTATAAAATCAAGTTCTAATGGTAGGCCCAAGTCAAGCACTTTTTAGGGATTGACTGAAGATGCCCGAAGACAAACTATGGGGCCAAACGTGCATCGAAAAACAGCAGGACAAAAACTTCACTACCAGTGAAAATCTTCAGTTTTACAGTTGTATGAAGACGGCATCGACCGGACGTTTTTTGTATCTCTTGAAAGTGGTAGTCAAGCTCCCACATCCTCGCATAGCTAAACATCCTCCGAAAACTGACGAGAAGTCACCTGCAACTCTAAGTACAAATTTGAAACGCCACCAATTCACGGTTTTTAACAGACACTCCTTAAGTTACTTCGTCAAACCAAACATCCTTTCACCAGGAATCGAAACATGTGAAGTTCATACAATGGGGCACATGACGTAACCGAAGCGACACTGATGCGATAGAAGGCCTTGACCGTGGGCTTCGAAAAACAAGGACGAGTTTGAAGACCTTCAAATCAATGAACAATCAGATGCACGATTAGGCCAATCCACGGGACAATAAACAATGAAGGTCGCAACCAATTTCACGAGAATAGTATACCGTCGATAGTGGCGCTTGGTTGTTCTCCAAAGAAAACTCTGCCTTCAAATTTACTGATTATTTTCAAAGAGAAAGCACATTTTCTTGACCACTAAAATGGGAGGCAACGCTGCTGTCCATCGGCCCAGCACCTTTACCGTACATTGTTCACATTATGTTGGCCCAGAACCCACTTAACATTCCCGAGAATCAGTCAAATTTAACCTAACGTGTCCATGTGGAGATGAGAATTTGTATCTTGCTACACACAAATAACGTGTGTGGTTGGAGACTGTTGTGTTCTTATCCAGTTGACCCTGGCGACAGTAGGTCGATAAACAAAATTGCTAGTTTCTCACCCAGGGTGTTTTGCTAATCACAGATCGTTAAAGCGAAGTGTGTTCACTTGTCCGGACGTGATTATTCAGGTTCATTCGGCGCGTGCTGCTGAGATACTAGCCTGTCTTGTATGTCTTGTGACCAGAGTTCAGATGTCCGTACGGTCAAGGATATTAACTTACACTAGCCTCTGATGAGAACGGAACGTAACGCTACTCTAACGTCTACTCATAACAAAAATCAAACTAGGATGAATAAACTGATCCCGATACAAATGAAAATTACACCTGAATGGTGGGATGCATTGTTGATCTATTTCAAGTCATTGCGATCAGTCATCAATGCATATCTCGTGAGTAACACAGAGTATTTTAGCCTGCTGACGAAATCCGTCCAAAACGGATACTCTAGATGAATGAACGCTGTGCAGAATATGCCTATCCGTTCTTTTCACGTTAACTGTAGTGTGTCCTTAAACATTGTTGCCTCACGACTTTAAATAGATAACGACGCAGTCGGTGAGCTAATAACAAATTCGCTCATGCAGCCCTAACCTCATCCTGGTTGGGTCTTGTGATTTCTTGCCAGTTCGGTATGCCATTCTTCATGTACCCAGGAACAAGGCGCAGTGCATAAGATTTTTTATTTTTCTGTCATGAACGTGACTGATACTCTCTTCATTTCTCTATTCATTATTCTCTTGTTTTAATATTCCATATGCTGCACATATACGCCAATTCGAATACATACTTGCTGCTTTGTTACGCTGCGCTGAATTCTGGATTTCTAGTTCGTCTGGTTATTCCGATATAAGTACGAAACTTAATTCCCACATTTTCATAGGTGAGACATCATTACTGTGGTAAATGCCCCCTCACTTCGCTGCGTTCTCCCCTCACGAATGCGCAGTTCACGGAAAATTCCTTCTGTCATGTTTCCGAACGTCGAGATATCGTCTGACTATAAAGACTCATCCCATTTATGGCTAGTTTGGACATGTGACAAGAGAATAGCCACGTCCCTAAAAACTGTCAAAGAGATACAACCAAGTCACACTGCCCAATGAAAAATTCGAAAACAAAAATTTCAGTCCTGAAGCAGACGCTTTGAGGGAATCCGATTTCAGTCGGAGTGGCCTCCATGCTTGAATGGAGTTCAAAAGACTTTTGAGTGACATAAAGGCTGAATTATCACACCAGAAAGTTTTTAGTTAGTGTCCAGGATGACGCATTGTGCGGGTATGGAATAATCTGAAATTTCACCGAAAGATTTTGTGTTCTTTGCTGAAAATAATTGCCTGGCGCGTTTTGCTTTTTAGCAGTTTAGTGACAGTTGCACATCCTATAAACGTTCTACGGTCACTTTAGTACTTCCTGCATATGAAGTGTATGAGTTTTCATGTTTGGCATGCTAAACATCCACCATGAACTTTCATGGATTTTAAGGCCAGGGTACCTTATAGTACACACACCAAACCGTTTTCCGCATAAGCAAAAGCTCGTGGTGTTATCACGAACATGAGCCAGTTTCCTATTTCCGGAAGCCGTGAGTGTTGTGGGCCGAGATAACTAATAAGTGTCCTATCTGGCTTTATTGGGGCGAACAAACAACATAGTTGCCATCAGTATGCACTCAACTGAGTCTTCATTTTGTAAATGAAGCCCGTCTATGCTGAAAAGCCGATAAGTACTGTGCAGCCATTTTAAATCTTAAGAATCATCGGCAGTTTTCAGCCCCCAGGGCTCCAACCCCGAACTCTTGGTTAGTAGCTTAAACACTCAACCGTTTCGCCAAGAGCGACTGGTTAACAGATTAACTCGAAATCAGACAGAATATAAGCTCACTGATCTTTTATTCATGGAAACCGCAACTAAAAATTGCGTACTGGTCATTACGCTTTGACTATAATCTTCTGACTACTATAGCCAGTGTCCTCTGAGTTCTGTCCACGAACTACCCTGTGTTTAAATTTGCTGATATAGTTCACCTTGAGATTCAATGTCAGTGAATTCTTCACTGCAAAACGTGCATGAACCCAAGCGTGTTTTATGTGTCTTGTTCCTTAAACGACATCCCATTAGAAATGATTAGAATGATTGCAGAATTGCACTGATCACATAGTCTAACATATTGTTTCTAAAGATCTGGAAAAAAATTTAGCGGTTCAACAACGTCTAAATATTGGTAGCTCGAACGCGTTCATTCGCTGGCGTGTTCATGTAACTGCTTCCATAAGCCTGTCACTGGACTTACGGACGTTGAGTACAGCATTTACCTAACACCCCCAAACGGCTGAAAGTCCCTTAGATACCACACATTTTCTGTTCAATTTGGTGAATATATTTTGTCGCCCAAGCTCCAGGGTGTGTCAAAAGTGCGAACTATCGGGCAATATTCTGATGCCAACGTCAATTTCAACCGCGGTGTTCAACATTTTCGTAACCTGGGTGAGCTGTTTTGAGCGACTTGGTAATTTGGTCGTGAGATTGAAGACCTCCAGAAATTGTGCTACCAGTTAAGTCAGTGTCTCTACTTCACAGCTCTTGTTATTTTTTGTACGATTCGTAACCAGTACGATTGACATTTCTTGTTTTATTATGCGTTATCAAGTGGGAACTGTCGCTCTCAAGTGCACCTTTGCAAGGCAATGAGGCTGAACATGGTCGTCTGTGATGCGTATTCTAGTATCCTTTACGACATGAAATCAACGACGGTTCAGGGGCTCGTGTAGTACCCTGTGATTTCACCGAATGGAAAGGAATATGGGAAGCCTAGTACTGCAGGCCGGCAGGCCGATAAGTAACTTTTGTTGGTACAGCTTCAAATAACTGCCGTCAAGTGGCTAATTTAAAGCAGTTAACCTAAGTTAGATTTGTTATGGGTGTAGGCGCAACACTCTGCTCATAGGGTTGCTGAAAATTCTTTGGCAGTCCACACCGGTTCCGCTCTTCTCGAAGATCATCAGGTAGGCGTAGTCCCCGAGTTACCGTCAACTTTATTTTTGGTACAGAGACTTAGGCCTATGGACTTATACCACGTTGATCAGTGCAGTGAGCATTTACTGCGATCATTTACATGTCTACTGCAACATCCATATACCCACCGATGTTGCTAACTGCTGGATCACGTGTCAAGGCACCAAAATCACCACGCATCTTACTTTGAGGCAGTAAATCTACCGGTGTATTCCATGAACGTAGTCCAGGGGTAGTGATTTGGGTGACTGAGCGCAAGAGAATTGTGATATAGTGCTTGCAACGGGGAAGATTTTGTGGAGCCCTACAGGTACCCGCAGGCCGGAGATAACGCCTTAACTAATGGCGGCAGGGCACTTAATAGCACTTGAGTAAAGTTATATATATATATATGAGAAACCCCACGTCGTCCTTCGAGGACATACGCTACTGAAGTCCAAATAAATGAGTATAGCTGTCATTCTATCTGCCGGATAACACTAGGCTTCCAGCGTCCGTAAGACTCGTCAGATTCCAAAAGGGAATGTTTAGATTCCCGGTAAAATTTGACAGCACTGCAAGGTTAAAATCGGCAGTTTGAACTAAGGAAGTAGACACTTATTAAAACCAACCAAAATACCTTGTGAACTAATACCATCTAGGGTGATTTGTTCATTCTGACATGTGAAAAAAGCGGGAAGATTTCTTGTAGGGTTCATCAAATTTCCACTTGTGAATTTACAAATCTGAATTTCTATTCATAAACAAGGTCAAAAATAAGGAGGTAGTCTTTTGAAAACAAGAACACAGAGTGGAAAAAGGCTGATAAAATTTCTCGAGCCATAATAAGCCAAGAATCTTTCGAAGAAACGTTGGAGAAAGATTCGGGATGATATGTTAAGGAGCCGGACTGGAAAAGTTCATTTAATTCGTGTCTTCCAACGGTATTGTTGGTAGTGATAACTTCTTTCTGATAAGGTTTCCCAGATGGTGATGAAAGTGCGGCACGTTTTTGTAACCTTGAAGAGAAAAGTGCATTTATCGTAGGACACATTTGTGGGCGAAATGAATGTTTGACGGAAAAAATCGTCCGATCGAAGACCTGGTATTTCGTGCGGTGAACGAAACTGTGGCAGATACAGCAGATACAGACAAGTACGCGGTTCTTACAGCTGATAATGATGATGATGGAATTCTTTCGTGCAACGCTGTTATAGATTTTCACTTATTTGGTGGAGTGTACGTGGGTTGTACCGACCGTGAAAAACTATTTTTAGTCTTACGAAAAGTAGGTTGTCCGCTGCAGTCAGTATAAGTGAGACATATCGCTTGTACACTATGTTATGGATCTCTTGCTTTGAATGTTCAACAGTTTACAAAGCTGAAAAAGATGGCAATTTTAGATAGATACCATGGAACTGCTCCTGAAGCTGAGCATTCAAGAGCGCGTTCTCTCAAGGGTTGGACAAACTATATTCCGAGACAGTGGCTTTCTAAAAAGCTAGCTATTCCGAAGCGTCATAGAGGAACACAACTAAAACCAAAGCTGAAGAACGTAAATCACATGAGTGAGTGATACATCACGTCTAAGTACGGGTTAACCATGATGTCGGTCATGCACCTGCAACCAAATGGGTGTTCAAACTCCTATCCGTCAGGTGTGGGTTCGAAAGATTCGCTAAGTGCGTCCTGCCGACGAGAATGAAAGAATTGCGGAAAAATGCTAGCCTACTAAGCTTAATAAAAAAATAAAATCCGACTTGGCATGTTCATAAAGAAATGGAAATGGTAGAATTCAATCTTCTTTTGTCATCCGACAAAAGAATTGCCGAAAGAACCCGGCATGCCCAACTGCCGAGCATTCATAGAAGTCTTTGGCAAATCATATGGAATAGTCTTTCCTGCAAGGTTTTTACAAGTATAAAGTTCCATATAACTCACCAGTCGGTATAAAACAAAGGCACTGCCTAACCAATGGGGGGTTCAACATGGAAATCCAACTAGACCCCATGTTCCGCAAAGGAATTACATATCAAAAGGTGAGTGATTCTCTTATTTCTGCTGCTCGTGTTAGTTTAGAGAACACAGTGACCAACCGGACTAGCAAAATCAGCTCCGCAGTTGACAACTCCTTCCATCCGCTGGTAAATACAGAAGACAACACGTCCGTGGAATTGTCAGGCAAACAGCCAAACAGATTGGGTTATTTAGATCACAAGTTAGAGGGGAACTTCGCTACAAGTTCAAATGTGCATTGAGCTCGTGGTTATTCTCAAATGCAATAAAACTACTTTGGCTTTCACATGGGATGCGAATCATGTTTTACGGTAACATTACAAGAATTTTAGAAGTTGCATAAAACGATAATCACGGAGTAATCAGTAACTCACTGGGCAATGGATTGACATCGATCACAGCAAACTTCCGTTGTTTACGGCCTTCGCACACGTCTTCAGCATTTTTCGTATTCGCGCCCTGTTCTACACATTCGATCACATCGACGCTAAATAGATCTAGGCAGAAGTCTTGTCGCACTTTGGTAGCAATCTTTGCAAACAACACTTCATCTTCTTCCGGAACAATGGATCCCAATTTATCGTTAGGATCCAGCTGTTGCATGATAGGCAACCGGAAATGTTTGTCAGACAATGCATCCATCATTGTTATTAAAAGTGGAATAAAGTAGATATATACCATGAGTCACTACCATTCTGATAAGATGAACCAAGGCTACAACCAAGGCTAACTAACCAGTTACCTTGAGGTGCATAAGCACGCAGGTATGCATGATACAGCTTAAAAAATGGAAAGGCACTAGAAGTAAAATCGAGTTACTTGCTTCTTTGCTGCTAGCATACGGCTCAAAAGGCGAATTACTGAAGCTAGGCAACTAAAGCGCTGTCTACAAATCAAGGGTTGATGCAAGCAGGTTAAGCAGCAACCCAACAACCGATAAGTGCAACTCTGCTACCTATAGTACGCAAGATCGCCAACAGATAAGACTATTATTTTTTCTGTCAGCCTGGTACGGCTGGTACCACTGAGGAGGCACGCGAGTACTATGTGGTTTTCTCGTATCTCCACCTCACGTCTATGAAACCCTTGGAACTGCTTTGCAGCGTTCGTGAACACTTCCGTGATAGTCAATGAATATCCACGAAATTTCAAGAAGACGCTTGAGGATGTTCACTTTTTAAAAATAAGGTGCATATGAGTTGTTTGCTTTCCTGTCCAATGGTTTGTAACCGTTTAGTTGTTTTCCAATAACTCGATGGCGGAGAGCTTTCCTCCTTACACCATTAGCTTCTCTGTGAGCCTGGGGCAGTCTCTGTCTTGAACCGTACATGAGAGGACCACAGTCACAAATAACACATGCCTCACCAATGTTCACCGAATGCGCGTGTTTGAAGGTCAACATCTACGCGATACGAATCTGTGGGCTTCACTGGTGAGAGCCATACGTCTACCCGTCTACCGATGTGCCACGGTATCCTGTTGACATGTCGAGCCTTTCAGATATACTAAATGGGAAAGTAATGCTTGTTCATGAGAGAAAAATGTTTCTCCTTGACAGAATCAGTGCGCAGTTGGTTTCCACGACAGCTTTGTGTGACTACGAAATGTCGCGACGAGATCTAAAAAAAACGAACGGCTTCATTAACCACGAATTACAGATATTGCTTTACTTACTGATCTTCTGTAAATATTTAGCTCAGCTGTCCGCCGAAACAAAGAATTTAGTAATATCTTTCGGGCGTATTTGCGGTTTTTCTAATTCTTAGACTTTATCACGTGCGACATAACCTCGGAAACCTGGAGTCATCATTGAATTACGCTTTAAATGCCATAGTGTATTCAATATACTCCTTGCTAACGTCAGCTTATAACAAAATATCACCAACGATCGCCTGCTTTTTATCGTCATGCAAGTCGAATTAAACCCACTTTGGATTGAACACCGTTGGATAGCTGAGTTTTGTGGCGAGAATTCGTATCATTTGTAAGATATTATTAAGCTATTTTGGGGTAGAATAAACCTGAATTCATCTCAGGAACTGATTTACATCATCCTATGTCAGTTTGCCAGTAAGAGCTACTTTCTTCGTCGCTGAATCGTTTTCTCAAAATGTCATCGAGAACACCGTTGAGTAAAAATATGTTGAAATATAGTTCTGAAAGGCAATCAACTCAAGGGCACAACTTACTGAGGAAGGTAAACCAAACGAGAACCCCGAAAACGGTCTGAATAGTCACTTATGAGGAAGAGGTTGTCACAATTTACTTTTTGGGAGAAGACGTTATTGTTGTGGCTGCATAATGGCTTCTTCATATTTCAGCGAAACAGTCACGTAAATCGCAAATAGACGCAACGCAATTCAGAGGTCTAGTGAGAATTCAGAAACGACTAAGTACGTAATGCTGTTTGGGGTGGAAATACCGTTTGTATTGTTGTGTACTTGATGATACCGATGTCAGCGACTCGCCACTGAGCTGCTCTGGTGCGATTCGGTTTTTGGGTATGCGTCGATCTCGTTGTTTTCATGTTTGTTAGGCTTGGGAACAGTGAGCATTTTTGCCGAATTTCCCATGTTAGTACCCGATGTGCAAGCAGTAATGATAACCCCGGTCATATCGACACATACACAGTTGTCAAACTGGAGCGCGTGAAGCGGCCAACAAACGGTGAGTTCATTTGTAACAGACAACAAGGCCCGTCGTGTTCGGGAACATGTGATGGCGGAGAGCAGGATGGTACACAAAAAACAAGGGATCCTTATTATGTGATCGCTTAGCATTTCACTCTTTTTTTTAAATAAATATTAGGGGGTAAAGATCAGAGCTGCTGAGAACAGGTAACATATCTGACCATAACTGTAGGAGCAGACATGTCCAGTTCTCATAATTTCTTGAGTAATTTCTAACTAATTGTTAAAAAGATGAGAAACGTTGTTCGATTGAATTAGCTTGGGTCCTTGTTGCCACAACTACCATCCTCCTCGCAGCCATCACATGGTGCGCTCTAAATTCATTTATTCTGGACTGTTACCAATTAATTTTTATCATGAACATAAAACATATCTGGCTTGAAGATTGTGAGGTAGTCACCGAGCTGAGCATGTTGCTCCTAGGGATGAAGGTAACCACACAAGCTCGCTGCGGTTACTTTGTTGCTGGTCAGGAGTTCAGTCACTGTTGTATTGATACCAGGAGTTCCGTTTGACTGTCACGAAGGCGGTTGGCCTAGAGGATAGGTGGAGTGCGACATCGTCATTTTGATTAAATGGATGGAAGGTGGAAAGTTGCAGTCAAGCGTAGATTTCCATGTGGGTGAATGTGTAAGTTGCGTGCAATTTTTGCATGTTGCTTTAGTCGGTGAAAGACATAATCCCTGTCCAACTCCAGTAGTGTCCTCAGACCACATGAAATTTAGTAGTTTTGTCATCATTGGGAACAAATTGGTTCTCAATACAACCGTCATAAGGCGACCCTAATATACTGTGTTGCTGCACCGAGCTAACTGTTCAGTGTTGCAAAGACATGCCACTTAACCGTAGATGCTGGCTGCTCTTACGGTATCTATCAGTAACCACGTGGTCATACGACTTCACACTTCATTCCAGAAGTGGAGATGAAAACAGGTGTAACCCTCAGACCAATGTGCTTTTGTTGAAGCATAAGTTAATAAGGAATTCCGGCCGAAACTGGGAACTATTAAGCTGCCCCAGCACCCAGAATAACCTGGAAACAAGATGTGACGTCACTTTCTCGGATTGGATAATGAATAATGGGAGATTTCAGTAAACCGGTTCTTGTGCACGCCCTGATGCTGTAGGCTACCTATTAATTCTACGAACCCAAACCTCCTGAAGTGATTACCACCCGGGGTTTACAACTAAATAACGTTATTAATCTGGTTGTCTCAAACGTTGCAATCAGCCGCTCGGAACCTTACATAATTGCAGGAACTGAACAAAATACACCAGAATGCCTTCATTGAACGGACGACTCTGAGCTACTATCGCAACACTTGCCTTGTAACAACTCATCCAACCCTGACAGTCGACCAGTCTGTCTGAACTCGAAAAACATTGGTTTACTGAAAAGTGCTGGATCATTACCCTACAGCATCACCTCGATCAACCTGCAACAGAAAATAGATGGACGATACCCGATGTAGGGGTTAGCCGTCCTTCATAAGTACATCCCAATTGCACCACACAACTAGTTACAATTAGTTACAATTAACTTCTGTCCTGAATTTGGTCAGTTCTTTGTAATGAAGCACCATGCAGAATAATTAGTTGTCTAGATGCACATCCTGATACCGCCAGTGGAAAACTAATATCGCAGACTCACCTTAGTAAGCGGATACTGGTGACCGTCTTTCGACACAAGGAAGGTGTGGAAGAACAGGGTCCGCTGACCATCTAGGAAAATAAGAAGACAACCACCAGAAATGATCACACTTTTCCGGCCAATCGTTTGCGCTCCACTAAAGCCAGCTAGACGTTCACCTGAAGCAACAGCTGCTGGTTGTCCCAAATGTCTCCCGTGATTGACTTAGCGGCCACTTTATGTGGAGCAACAGAAGTTTCCCAGGGACAACAAGGAATTATTCCCATTCATAGAACCAGCTGACTGAGTTGTTTCTCATTTCAGTCAGTAGTACAATGGCGATGTGAATAAAGGGCAAGACACTTCAAAAGACGGTCAAACGCAGGGTGTCCCATTTGGCGTACAGAACGGGCGATCATGCAATCATTCGCGCAGTCGTTCTGTGAATGACTGGAGTAAACAGTCTTCTGGTTTTCGACTTTGCCGTTCTTTCTAATTCACTACTGATACTCCTACTGGTATAAACATCACATAATTTTTCAAAACAATCAAACATGCTTGTCGTACCAAAAGCCAGTTATTAAAGAGCGCGCAAAATGCTCTATTATCCTATTAAGCAAACTGACCCAAGGCGAAAACTTGGTCTATTATAAGGTTACCCCAATTAGTATACATGATCTACCAACTAATAAGGCAAAGCAGCACAAGGTACTTACGACAGGTATGCATGTTTTTAATGGACGGCCGCTGGGTAGTGAAAACATGCTCTTCAATAACTGAAATCTTGAAAAGTTGAGCATTGTGGTTGATAAACCGTTGCGCGACAACCGGATAGTGTATTTCTTCCAACCCATTCTCGTCAAACACCACAGCCATCTGTCAAGTGGAAGCACACAAGAAGTCGTTTGTGCGACAACTGAATTTGAAAACTAAATGCTTTGTTGCTCAACATGCCGCTATCATGTTACCATGGTTACTGAGGTGGCCAGGCTGGAATGATAACAGTACTACATCGAACCGTTGTTCATATCCGAGCGCACGCAGGATTGTCAAATCCCAACAGTGGAACGTCGGAGATTCTCGCTGCAAAACGATCACAAAACCTATAGACACTGGCTCAGTGACTGATATGTCGTTAAACTGGGCAGTAATGAATGCCCAGGAGTATCGCATCATGCGAAAGTTACAGAGCACATTACTCTGCTGGTCGATCTAATCTGAACTTGGTACCAACTGTAAGATTTCAAAGCTCACCCGTCCCTTCACTACAAGTTCACTACAAGGAATGATTATTCTAACGTGAGCTGGAGCTACCTATGAGTACCACGATCACTTACTCTGATACGGGCCAAT